AGGAGGGGGAGTGCTCTGACAGTCCTGGAGTGGGGGTGAGGAGGGGGAGTGCTCTCGGCTGGTCGCGGAGGCTTGCACTGTGTCTCTGCGGCGCCTAGTGCTGAACAGTCATGTAAGAGTTTCTGGGGGTCCCTGTTCACCGGGTGGGGGCAGAAAGAAGAGTGTGGAGGTCTCCTTCCTGTCACCCCGCCGGGATCGCAGCCGTAGTCCCCTCACACAGCAGCTTCTCCGTGTTCAGGCTCTGCCACTCCTGCTTAAACCAGCTGCTGGCACCCCGGCTGGTGTGGAATATGTTCCTGTCCTGAAATCTACACTGAGGTGCAAGTTAAGTAATGTTAGTCTTCACTCCATAAGCCTCATAGAAGAGCCCGGCCACTAGTGAAAATCTGGACAGGATCAGACTGCCGTGCATTGGGAGTTTCACTGCTATCCCTGTCTCTGTGGTGGAGGGTCAAACAGCCGTGTGTACTGAGATGTTGCTTTTGAGATGATAGTCTGAGAGCATGCAAAGTTTGTTACTGTCTGAGAGCATACAAAGTTTGTTACACAAAGAGTAGTCAAACATGGCCAAACTTAGCTTCTGATCCTTGACCCTGGGACCCTTGCCTTCTCTGGGCCAGGGTGTTTTTTGGCTCTCAGACTGTTTTTGTTGTTGCAGGTTGATGACGTCATCATTGATCGCCTGGGTACCTGTACAGAGGAGGGGAAGAAGGTCCAGCGAAATGGTGGGAAAAACTACATGGCCGTCTTCCGCAGAACGGAGGACTCGGAGACGCATCGAGCAGCTGATCTGCTGACCGGTTCCCAGTCTGCAGGAAAGCATAAATCTACGGAAAACTGAGCCTCGGGAAACTCAGAAGTATGGAAGTTTGAAATGAGATACCTGACATCAGAGTCTAAAACTGTCAACCCGAGAGTTCATTTATCTACATTCTTTGGTGTTATTTTTTTACTGTCATTTTTTAACGTGCTGGTTCACTGATGGGACTTCATCTGCAGCTCTGCGTTGAGTCAGTGGAGGTGAGCACACACACCCCTCCTCCGGGGGCAAGTTGACACCGACCTGGGGTCACACAGGAGAAAAGGATTCCCCCACTTTCATGTGGTGGGGAGATAGGGGGCTCACTGGTGTCACTACAAAAAGTGTCATTTACAATTAAAATCTAGTGATTTATGCCAGATTCATTCCGAATAATTACCCCCAACCTCTTCCCCCAATCAATTACCTTATTGTCCATGCAAGGGGTTTCTTGGGACATGCAGTGCTGAGTTTATTTAGGTTGCTAGGGTCCTTAATGCACAATGTCACCTCAGATTTTTAGGCGCTGCGGCATGAGACTTCAGCCCCAGGTTCTAGCAGTGCGCTGGGACAGTGCTACAACACTGCTGCACGAGAGATTCTCAGGCCCTGGAGTTGACTTCACTGTGTACAACTTAAGCAGTAACTGTGATTTTTTTTTTGCTGAATAAATAATGACAATTATTATGAAAAAGAACTGGTAAGGACTCGACCCATCTTGATTGTCCGTCATTGTTTGTCATGGAACCCTTTTCCAGACTACCCAACTCTTTGTGTGAAAGACTGTCTCCTGTTCTTACTCGTGAATTAATTCCCTTTGACTTTCCAGTTTAATTGCCTTTTAGTTTCCAGTTCTGATTCCTTTTCCTTGTTTCAGTGCTAACTGTGGTAGTCACCTTTGTTCTAGCTTGATGAGATTAGTGTGTCTGTATGTGACAGTTGCCTCAGACTAGTACTCATGCCTGTGTCATTTCCCTGAGCTCTTTCCAAGGTTCTAACACTGCGCCAGTTGCATGGTGTCCAAAACAGAACTCTGCTCGAAATGAGGCAGTGTGATGTGAGAAAGTCCCAAACGTAGGTGCTTTTCTTCTGCAGCCTTACCAGATCTCGGCTGGGTGTGTTTCAGATGGGTGCGTGGTTAGTGCAAAACAGTTACAGCATTCTTATCGTTCCAGCTCTCCTTTGAAAAAGAATGATTAAAGAATAATAACCACTGTGGATTTGGTACCACAGTTACTAAAGAGGTATAGTCAGTTTTTCTTACTGTGCTGCAGTGGAGTGTTTTTCAATTTTGTTATTGCGGTCTAGGTGGGCAGTGTCCTCCCTTACTCAAGCGTGAAGCTTGCAGGCTGGTGTGTCGAACCCTATAGCTCCCCCTGCAGGTGTGCTGTCTTCAGCCACAGCGGCGGTGCGGGTTGGACAGGCTGCAGTGGGGCACTTCCTGCTTTGCTCCTGCGGTGGTGCCTGGTTTCAGGACCAGCGATGCAGCACACTTTCCAGCGACCTGCCCTCAGAGCCTGTTTTTTGGGGGATTTGGTGTTTTACTTTGTTGCCGAGTCTGTAATGCTTGGAGGGTTTTTTTTTCCCTGTCCAGACACGACAGCCAGAGAGGAAACGGCGGTTTGGCTCTCATCCCACCTCTCGTTTGATCTCCCTCCTGAGATCAGATGCTGAGGCCAGCGCAGAGGAGTGCTGAGTCAGGCAGGGAGCGCAGGGACATTCTCAGACAATTCACAGTTCTGAATTACACATTCAGAACCTCCATCTCAATTCCAAGCACCTGGTTCAGATGAAAGGGGGCTATTGTCCCAGTGCGGAGACACTGGTTTACAGTTGTTCTTGTCAGCTTTAACTGTTTAAGGCCCGGTGGCCTGGCTGTTCCCTGGGTTTCCTGTCAGTTGCAAAAAACACTGGAGTTTTGGGAATGGCACCCCCTCAGCGCCTGGCGGGTGTTTGGTTTCTAGTAGTTTATTGGCCTGTGAATCTCGCCCACCCGCTTGACCGACCCAGGGGAACCAGCTACAGCAATGTGACTGGGCGGTGTGTGCCCCACCCCTGCTACTCTTTGTGTAAGGTGTCAATGCACTGCATTTTCAGTTTCCGCTTGCGCTGTGGCACATTTTCAAACACTGTTGGTCGTTCGCGCCTTTAAAAGATTGGAGTATGCAAGCGTGTTTGTAAAAGGAAATGGGCTGCTGTGGTGACTGATTTTTTTCTTGCATGCCTGGAGGTGTAACCAGCAGTACTGCCCTGGGCCGTGTCTCTTTTCCAAACCTCCAAGCCTGTTTAGACTAGTGTGCTCCTGTGGCACCAGTACTTCTTGCGCCTGCTGGCGGTGTGGTGCAGTCGAGACTGGTTCTCCTGGGCTGTATCTGCATTGCCGAGCAGCTTGATCCGTTGTGAAATAAATGAGGTAGAAAGCCATTATAACTCTTGTACCCACCGGACAAACAATTTAGAGCCGCCCTTAATTAAACTGATAAGAGTTCCAGCCAGGCTTCTGTATGGCTTCCAGCTTAGGTGTTGCAAATGGTTCTTTGTAAACTTGTAATACAAGTGCTGTTGTCAGTGAATTACACATTTACTGTGTTTATGCCCACAGTTTACTTTCTTTCTTAACATATAATAAAATGTTAGCACAGCCCAACCAGCACCAGGTTAACGACTGTATTAGTGCTCTACTCCCATGTATGTTTCAGGCAACAAAAGTGTTGACCGAAGTCACTTGAATTGTGCGCTCTTACAGGGCCTGGCGGGGAGAGTGTGTGTAAGAGCCTGAAGCAGGTTATTAATTCAGTTGCTAGCAGAGGTCAGCAGGAGTCCTGGCCAGGAAGCAGCAGGTCCTGGCTCGGCGTGCAGGAAGGGTTAATGGTGATGTCTAACGCTGGGCCTGCGGGCGGAGGCAGGGTGAGTCACTCGCTGCGGAAACGCTGCAGGTGGCTTCTCTGGGGCGTGAAGGCGCAGGCCGCAACACGATCCCGCATGCCGGGGCTGGATATTTTTGAATGGAGCGGTTTCTCTCTGCAGCACAATGAGGGCTCTGTTGATGTGACGTGCCGAGACAATCCGCTCATTGTGTGTGTGTGTGTGTGTGTGTGTGTGTGTGTGTGAGTGTGAGAGAGCGAGAGAGCAGGGCTGATGGGTGAGAGGATGCTGGGTAAACAAGCATGCCTCCTCTTCCTGCTCGCAGTCATGTCCGCTGTTGCAGTATGCCACACAGCCTTTTCCAGTTAAGAGCGGGAGGAGGGAGCTCTGTGTCCGCACACTGCCTGACTCTCAGGTCAAGCCCGCCTGCCCTCTCTCCTCTCGAGCCCGGTGCTCGTTCTCCACGCTAGGATTCGGGGTGATCAGTTGGCCTCATCCTTCACTCCAGCTCCTCAGTACAAGTATTATCTTATTTGTGATTCTGAGCCTGCTATTTCCGGTTAAATATACACTAGAAGCCGGATTCAGGAACGTTCTGAAATTGACCTTTTAGCCCATCTAGCTCATTGGTTGCAAGTAGCTGAGCGACATGTCTTTAACAACATGGCTGTGTAGCTTGTTCCAGGCTCCCACCACTCTTTGTGTAAAGAGCCTCCTGATTCAATTCCTTTCTTTCCCTGAAGGATACATGGGGGTCTGAGAGGAGAGACGTGCTCCTGTCCTCTTCCTGTCCTTGTGAGATCCGCTGGCACTGCTCCCGGAGACGAGCTGCTCAGTGTTTCGGTTTTTCAAAAGCCCTGCGCTCAGGGCTGGGGAATGTCAGCCTTCATGGTCTCCTGCAAATCCTGTCCCTGGCTGACGGGGAAGCAAAGCAACTGCCACTCCGCCCTGCTTTCCGGAGAGAAAGAGACTGTAAACAGCACAATGGAAAATCGGCTGGCAGGGCGTGTCTGCGTTCTGAAGAGCACAGGGGCCCATCCTTGACAGGCCCCGAACAGAGCCGCAGCCCTCCAGCCTGGGGATTAAAGGGTTAAGGGGGGGACAGTGTGCGTGGAGGGTGGGGGCTGTCATCTTCTGCGCCCCCCGGTAGGAGAGGAGCCGCAGGCCATGGTGCCGGCCCGCGAGATGGGGCGCGGGCACCCCAGCAGTGGGAGAGGCGTGGCGCGAAGCAGAGCCGTTTCCCACTGCTTGCCTGTTGGCTGGGAACCCATAGCTCATCCAGCAGGACCGCGCCCCCAATCCCCCCCCCCAGCAATCCGGTCTGGCGCGGTCTGTCTGGCCGAGTCCTCGTCATCCAGTTCATCTTTCCAGATCTCCGCCAGCTGGGATGTTTCCCAGCGCCGGCGGTTATTCTGCAGGGTATTTTTCCGAACGGTTCCCAGGGTGTTGTGTACCACATGCCTGCGCCAGCTGCAAGCTGTGCTGTACCCGGATTCCACTGGGCTCTTCCATTTTCACCGCAGTGAGGTTTATAAGCGCCTGGAAGGCTCCCGGCGCCGGACATCTGCACACGCTGCAGAACAGGGGGAGATCGAAAGCCAGGCGGCAACCTGCTCCTCGTTAGGGCAGCGGCTTAATCACGTTACCCATGATACCACACGGGGCTGGGCTGGGCTGGCCGGACAGGGGAGCTCTGGGAAGTGGGATTTTCTTTCCCTCCCGCGGGATCTTGCGTCTGCTTATCATTCCGGCGGCGTGGAGGGTCACCTGAACCAGCCACTCGACTGCAGCAAAGACGAGTCTCGTTCCCCTTTCCTGAGCTGAACTGCTTGACGAGGGGAAAATATCCGTCGCCTCTGCCTGTAACCTGTCGTCAAGGAAAGAGTTTCAAAACCAACACCGTGACGGATTAGGAAATGGATTTAGAGCTCAGACTGGGGTTGAAGGTATTCCTGACGTGTTCTCATCAGATGCCCCGCAGGCCCGGTGTTGAATCTTTTCCTCCGAGCGCGGAGAGCTTGTGGTGAGCTGTCTTTCTTCGGCCTGTGCGTCAGCCTGCAACTGAACTAAACAAAGAAAACAAACTTCAGCCCTCTTGCAATCGCTAACTCAGACCTTCACACCTCCAGTCGGCCGTGCTGGAGGAGTCGGGGACCTGCCCAGCAGACGGCAAGTGTCAGCTTGCGTCTGCAGCTTCCCCTGGTCTCCCCGTTACCACGGTCGGCTCGTAATTGAGAATGCCACTGGCTTCATCAGATGAAGTTTATAATGACGTTTTGCGAGGGATGACCTCAGCCTCTGCTGTCGGTAATTTGTAATCAGTCCTGACGTTATTTCCTCACCTACAACATTCTGAATCCTGTACGCACAGTAACCCCCTTCTTCGCCTCCCTCCTCCTCCCCATCTCCAGCTCTGCAGCTGCCCCCTGGTCGCTCCTCTTCCCCAGGGGGTCCCAGCCTCCTCGTCCCGTGGACAAGGAGGTCCGCCCTCATTCAGGCGCGTAAATCCAAATTTACTGTAACCAAAGCCCTCCATAAACCTCTTAATACACTTACTTCTTGGGTGTTGTTATAAAACTTGGGTAATCTTTCCAGCTGACCGAAATGTGCTGAAATGTGCTGATTTTAATTGGCTTAGAGAAAGGGGCTGCGTGGATGTGAGGATTGGTGCCTCTGAGCAGGAGTGCCTGGCTGGTGAGAGTCCGCTGGGTCCAGTGTGTGCTGTGCTGTGGAGAGTGCGGTCAGTTGGGGGGGGGGGTGTGGCTCGAGAGAGACGGGGTGACCCCTCCTGTGATTCCCGGCACAGCGTTTCCAGCAGGCATCCCAGCAGTCCCTGCGGTGCGAGGAGGGCTCATGGGAGCTGGGAATGAGGGGAAAGTTCAGGGCAGGGCTGTGCCGTGTGTCTAAGCATCGCTACGTGATGGTTCCTCTGTATCTGTCTTTCAAACCAGAGCAAAGCCAGGACCTTTTGCCATTAGTCTACCGTGATGCCACACGTCTCCCAGCGAGAGGGAGGGGGTGGACGAGCCCAGGGCTGCTTCAGACTGGGACAGAGTGTGTCACGATGACCTCTGCCCTCCAGTGGACCTTTGCTCTACAACCCACTGTCACAGTGACCTCTCACCCACTGAGGCACGCCGCTGTTTTCAGACAGCCCCTCGGCTTACAGATGTTTCCCTAGAACACAGGCACATGTCTTTGAATTTGTCGTCGACGAGGTTGTCGGACTGGAGAATGTCCGAGATCAGGAGCAGGCAGACCTCGGCCACACTGTGACCTAGGCCAGAACCAGCCGGCTCAGCTGTGGCTTCACAGCTGCAGTAATGCAGATGTTACAAGATCGTTGTGTCGGATGAGACATAAAACTGAGGTCCTGACTCTCTGTGGTTATTAAAAATCCCCGGGCATTTCTCAAAAAGAGTAGGGGTGTTACCCCAGCATCCTGGCCAAATTAAGATAAGATAAGATCACTTTATTGGCCATATACATTTTCTTGTATTAGGAATTTGTCTTTTCACATACCCCAGCTTGCTCTCCATGAGACGCACAACAGGGAGAGAAGCTGGGGGTCAGAGCGCAGGGTCAGCCATTTATACAGTATGGCAGCCCTGGATTGTCCCTTACCAATCATGGCTTCCTTATAATCCCCATCTCTGAACTGGCTTCATCACTGCTCTCCTCCCCACTGAGAGCTGGTGTGTGGGGAGGTACTGGTGCACTCTTGACTGCCGTCACATCATCCAGGTGGGGCTGCACACTGGTGGTGGAAGGGTCCCCATTACCGGTAAAGCGCTTTGAGTGGAGTGTCCAGGAAAGTGCTATATAGGTGTAAGCAATTATTATTATCCGCTGATGCAGAACTGAACGATCTTCTCTTTTCAACCTGCAATAAAAGTTAAAGCGGGGCGGGACTGGCCTGAACACAAATGACAAAATACTTTTGCGTCCTGCTGCATCACTCTGTTTCAGATGGATTGTGGGAAACGTCCAGGACCGGTGGCGACATGTGACTTGCGTGACGTCCCAGCCCTGTTGGGCCTGTTCTGCTCTCCCAAACACAGGCAGGGGACGAGTCTGCTTTAAATCCACACGATTTGTAGGAACAGGACTCTGGGGAGACTAAAGTAAAGATGAAACTGGGCAATGCTCCCACGCGTCTGGAGGACTGTACACAGGGCTCTGTGGCCGGCAGACATACCTGATGGGTTCCACTGCCCTTTCCTCCTGAAGTGAACCCTGTGCTGCAGGGCTCTGCACAGACGCTGGCCCCTCTGTTGAGGATGATGGGTAATGGGTTTAAGGCTCAAGGGATTCTGTGAGACCTGGGCATTGCACCACACAGCTCGGCCGACCTAATCTGAAATGGGCGAAAGGTGCTTTCTGTTAGATAAAGCGAGAGGACTCGGGTGTTTGAGCGCGCTGTGCTGGTCGTTCTAATTCTGTACCGACTACTGGGAAGGGGAGCCTGCAGTTTCAAAAGCCGGAATGATCCACGACAGGCAGATAACCCCGAGATACTCTCCCGCGGACTTTACCCACGCACGCGGCTGCTGTCGGACGAGCCACACCGGGATGCGTGCGAGCCTATCGGGGGGTCTGCCCCCCCCCCCCATGGTGAAGAACATCTCTCTGTCGCGCTGAAAAAAAAACAAATCTCGCCTTTTCTTGGCCATTACCCCCAAATCAAGACAAAGGACGCTTTCCCGTTACATTTATTAGACCTCCGTGAATTCAAGAATAATAAATCGTCGTGGAAACGCCTCTCTCAATCCTTAAGTGTGACACCTCAACTTCCGCTCTCGCAGAGACTCGCAGACCCTCAGACGGCTTCGTGACGTCACCCCTTTGTTTCCGACATAATTGCTGCGCCGCGCGAGAAACCGGAGCCTCGGGACCGCGGTGAAATTACCTGAAGACAGTTCATGACATCTCTAGGCTCCTCGTTGACTACGTGTGAAAAGGAGATAGTCTTTTCAATAAAGGCGTTTTGTTTAGGAGGAGGGGTGGGGAGGGTAAGAAAGACAGCGTTTTGGCAAGGAGAATGCCAATTTTAAAGATCTCTAAAATCTGTGAAACGGGTGAGGGTGTGGGCCATGTCATTCTGGAGATGGATTTATATAGATTTTTAATAAAAATGGTTATTCTAGACACTCTAGTCTCGCCCCCTCCCCGACCCGTCAACCCAGGGCTAATCTCTGCATTGACGGGAATTATTTACAGTAGCTGTCTGGCAACACGCCCAGTGGCGAATTTACCCCCCCCGGGAAAACAGCCGAGCGCTGGCCTCCGGGCATGGGTATCAGAACAAAACGAACGCTGACACTCGGTTTTCAGTGAGCCCGACAAATTAATAACTCTTAACGGGGGTCCTTTGAGAACGCCGACTCGCGGCAGACCAGATGTTTCGCTGTGGTAGAGGTTATTGTTCCGTGGGGAGGTGTTTTGGACACGCGTGCCAGGGTCTGCGTACAGGTGTGTTCGGGGCAGCGCGAGTCTGGGCTGCCTTCCAGGAACCCAGCTCAAACATTAATGCTGAACACCCAGGAGAAAATTACCCATCAACAGTGTGCGAGTTGGAACTGGGTCAGGAGCCCCGGACTAGCTCTCTGTCGACTGTGTTTTGTTCTGGGAGTTCAAAGGCCGATCCCACGAGCTGTCGCCTGAGTCAGCAAACCTTTCCAGTCATCCGCGCTGCGGTTAACCCCTTACTGGCGCAAACTGCGGTCTCGAAGGAGAACCGCTAGCGGGAGTGGGGCCGTAGACAGCATCTTCAGGGTGATCTTTTACAGTGTCACTGCTATCGAATATTGCACGCGGATGGATTTATGTTCGTATGTCTTTACATGGGAAAGTTTGGCCTTTCAGGGAACATCCTGCCGGGGAAGTGCGCTCTGCTGCGCGCGTCACGGCGCAGGAGCCCGGACTGCTGCAATTTCCCAGCAGGGTCCGAGTGGCGGCCTGACTCACGGCCCCGCCGCCTGACGTGTCTCCGGGCCTCGGACGTGTTTCTGCTCAGGAGCCGTAACCGAGAGCGAGGAGTTTCACTCTGACCAGAGTTTCCCATACGGACAGCTGTAATTTCATGTAAGAATGAGATTATGATGCCATATCACATGCGTAATGAAAGAGAGTGTCTATTATCCCCGAGGGGCAACTTGTTTTACAGCAGCGGTGTTGGTGTACGGACGGACAGAAAGAAAGAAAAAGGGAAGAAATAATACTACACAGAGAATGAATCAGTTGAGTCCAGCAGGAACAGCGCGATTAAAAATTTTGTTTCGGAAGAGGCTGTTACTTCAGGTGAACCCTAACCGTGCTGCGCGTTCATCCTCTCCGCACTGCCTCTTACACCTGGCTCCCACTGTCCCTAAATATACTGTCCTAAAAGGTCGTAAAAGCGAAAGGCCGTCTCCTGCGCTGTGAGCAGGTGAGAGTGTGCTCTCCCTCTCAGGGGCGGGTACAGGTAGGATGGATGACGTGAGAGGTTCCTGAAGTTTTTAAGCGCGACACGGCTCCCGCCCCAGCCCTGCTGCTCAGTCCCTCCAGCTGATCGCTGGCCCCGCCCCCTCTCGGGGCCCCGCCCACTGAGAGGGGGGACGGGCTCCGCGTCTGCGTTCTGATTGGACACACCTTCCGAACGTTCCCCGCCCCCCCCCGGGTTAGGTCCAGCTGCTGCGTGTCTGGCGGCACCTTGTGATGGGTAGGCCTGATGAATAATGTGGAAGGGGGCGTGATCTAGTACCGGCGTGCCGGTAAAATGTAAATAGTAGCTGCAGCCGAAGTGGGGGGACAGGAATTCTGTTTTGAACAGCTTCCCAAGTTTTCTGACATCCGCCCAAGAAGATGCTGCAGGCTCTCAAAGGGAGCGCTCGGAGCGCCTCTCCGGTGGTGAGGTGGCTGGATAGCGTGTGGGAGAGCAGGGTGTCCCTGCCGAGGCAGGATCGGGCGCTCAAGACCCTCCAAGAGATGCCGGGACCCTCCGGCTTCAGCTTCGCGTGGGACCTCTTCGCCCGGGGGGGTCTGTCCCGGCTGCACGAGCTGCAGGTGAGAGCCCTTCGCTCACAGAGTCACGGACACCTAACCTGAAGACACTCGACGAGTTCGTGTTTAACGTCTGTCCAATTTATGTTGTAATTTTTTATAATGATGCCAGAAAAACAAATTTGCACTATTTTGAACGGACAGTAGCTAATATGATATATCTATGTGTTACCTGTTGGCTGGGCTGGGGTGATTTTGTGTTACAAAATATGAATTCTACGTTAAAATAATTTGAAAGACATGCGCGCCCGATTTCACACATCTGGGCTGTTTTATTGTGAGCGATACTGAATAAGTTAAGAGGGATTTCCCAAAACAGCAGGAAAAAAAAACATACTGGTTTTCAGAATCCAGATCTGAAAGGTTACAGCTAGATTGCGCCAGACAAACAAACCTTCTCAACAGCAGCCGTAATCTGCTGTTCAGAGGAATCGATACCGCTGTCCACCGCACAAGCCATGGCCTTGAGACTGACCCTCCGCAGTGCTCCTGTCTCCCACCTGCCAGCGCGGGGGGGGCTCAAGCACTCCTGCCGTAAGAGGCTGGAAACATACGGAGCCCTCTCCTCCGCAGGTGTGTGCTGGCAGCCACGGTCCACCAGAGAAGTGTTTCTCGTGAATGTGCAATAGAATTCGAATCTCTGAGAGTTACGTTATACGTAATAGTTGTTTGCATCTTAGTGAAGTCATAGATAATATCATATAGGATGACCCAGAAACCATTACTATCTTCTGCTGCAGATTGGCTGGTTGTTAGACAGTCGGTGTTGGATTATTTTGCCAGTTTGTCAGACAGTCAGTATTGGATTATAATGCCTGTTTGTACCAGAGTCTGTAATGGATTGCAATGCCTGGTTGTCAGACAGTCAGTATTAGTCAATAATGCCTAGTTGTCAGACAGTCGGTATTGGATTACAATGCCTTGTTGTCAGATAGTCGGTACTAGTCAATAATGCGTAGTTGCCAGACAGTCGGTATTGGATTATAATGCCTGGTTGTTAGTTGGTAGTTGGTATTAGTCAATAATGCCTGGTTGTTAGACAGTCGATATTTGATTACAATGTCTGGTTGCCAGACATTTGATATTATTAGTCAATAATGCCTGGTTGTCAGACGATCAGTATTGGTTTATAATGCCCGGTTGTAAGACAATTGATATTAGTCAATAATGCGTAGTTGTCAGACAGTTAGTATTGGATTGCAATGCCTGGTTGTCAGTCGGTAGTCTGAGTCTGTGTTAGTCAATAATTCCAGGTTATCAGACAGTCAATATTGGCTTATAATGCCTGGTTGTCAGACAGTCTGTACTGGATGGCAAAGCCTGGTTGTCAAACAGGCGGTATTGGATTAAAGGGAAACCTGGCTGCTGAGCACTGGGATGGAGGTGTTGAGGTGTTCCAGGTGTCTGCAGCACTGTCCACATGGGGGTTAGTTTATGACAGGGACAAAAAAATTCAAGTCTGCACCTTCATGTCATTGAAGTTTTTAACAGTCGTGATAAAGATGATTTTTAAGTCCTTTCCTAGTACCAGCATAATGATTTAGAATTTGTCTCTATGTGGTTTACATTGCGATTCCTGTGAATTCAAGGCTTTTTTCTACGACAGCAGCATTTCACCTGGGCTTCAGTGTGTGATATGGATGAGGTGGATAATTAAATGATTCTACTTCATTACCTCTTTACTTTCACACAGTATCCATCTCCAAAGCAAGAGGTAATGCCAGTTCTTAATTACAGGCTTAGTAGGGCTTGTAGAAAAACTTATTTGACTCTTGTAAAGTGTGGTATGTGTAATTACAACTGAATAAAGGAGGCTGAGTGTGCACAGTGTGTCTGCAAGGTGTGAGAGGCTGTGTGCGTAGTGTGAATGTGTGCAGGGT